ACCTATTTCTTAATTTTAATTTAAAGTGATACAGCAATTTTTATTAAAGATGTTTTCAAAGTTAACACCCCAACTAAATTTCAAATAATTTAAGAATATTGATTTCTTACCCTGGCAGTTTATATTAATTTCATTCAGAAGCTTCAAATGCTTAAATGATATATATTCTTGATCAGTATTAACAGCTGAGTCGATCTAGCAATATGAATGTATCCTAATACAAGCTAATACAAAAAAAGGTTTCCAATTTGAGACTAATAAAAAAAAATATGACAAACTTATTAAATGGAAGAGTGTTCTCTTTTCAAAATAAACATTGACCTTTTGATTACATTATCAGTATTTCATTTTGTTTTTAAACTTCAAAATACATAGATATATGACAAAAGATATAAAAATAGTAAAGTTATCATTAAATCCATATTTAAAAGGTATATGCTTAATTTCAAATTTTTATATAAAAAACAACCATATTTTTAATATGACATTAATATTATTATCAACAATTTCTCTCTATATACATTCCTATTGTCAGTCAGGGATGAATTTAAGAGCTATGATGTTTATCAAAGGCGATTCCGAACGGCATCACGAATCCGCTGGTTTTTTGGTGGTACAAGGAAGGTTTTAACGGTGGACGTCCAGGATCCTAAGGACCATATGGCTATTACACCGGAAATGGTAGATTTCTGTTAAAAATTAATACCACAATGCTAAATCCTGATTACTTACCGACACAACATTAAAATATATAAGGCCACAACTTTATATTGTTTCAAAGATGATTGATACACCCACAACGCAAAATGAAATGCTATATTTTTCTCACACACCAATCTAAGGATATATCTTCATCAAGTCAGGAAGGGGATCGGAATACAAAGGCAGATTATGGTACGCCTTGTTTAACAAATCATATCCAGGTATGTTCAGGTAGATTTACCCTCGGATATGATACTGATTGTGGCATATTTACCTTTCAAATTGGACGCACAAAACAATACAAACCAAATGCGACTGACACTGAAGTCAGGATGTCTCACTCTCTCGGTCGGAGGTATTTCCGAGGGTTAAGAGAACCCATGCAGGGTGGGAAGAATCATAGCATATAGACAGACATTGGGGAAGGCACAGTTACTATATCGTTATATTTTGAAGACTCGGTAGTTTTTAATCTAAATAGCAATCTATAGGTTTTTGTTCAATTGTTTTGTTCGGTGTTTTGTTTTTATTTCGTTTGTTGTTGTTTGTTATTTTGTTGTTGTATATGGGCTTTAATTTGAATATTTATTTACAATTTATTTAAGACTCGCTACCCTCGCTCAAGTCAAATATATAGTAACAGTTGCAATAAACAAGCTTTCAACTTATTGCTTACGTGTCTCTCATCAATATATAATTTACAAGAAAAACTTACTTATAGCTAAAACTCCGTTGATTTTCTCTGTATGTGTCTCTGTGCTGTTGTAATTTACTTTACGAATATTTTTATTTTTACCGGCTGCTTAATATGGTTTTAATGCTTCCTCGCTTCGTTTATTTCGTATTTCATTACTAGTGAGAATATTGGGTTGGTTAGATTGAGAGTATACATATTCAAATATATATATATATATATATATTTATATATATACATATATATAGGTCTGACATCTATTTACCAGTTTTCAACGTTTCGTAGCTACGAATTGGGCTTTTACTATGCGCTTGCGGTTGCTTTTCGTTTTCTTTGTATAAATAAAATAGAATATTTTTGCTTTTGCTTCGCTTCGAATAATAATACATGCCATATACATATATATAAATATATATATAAGAAAATGCTCAATTACGATTCTCATAACTTATGGTTCGACGTTAACCAAATGAGGCCCTCGGACAGGCCATCGCCGGATGTGGCACACGATGGTTGTACATACCAATTGCGATCTCTTATTCTAGTTAAGCCTAGTTTTTCCTGGATTTCATGGGGTTTCATTGCTGCAATAAAAATAACCAATTAATAATAATCAATATAACTATATCAGGCTGTATACTTACCATCAGGCAGATCCTGTTTGTTAGCAAATATCAGTATGATGGCGTCGCGCATCTCCCTATCGTTAATTATCCTATGCAGCTCCGTGCGCGCCTCGTCTATCCGATCGCGGTCCGCACAGTCCACCACGAATATAAGACCCTGTGTGCCCGTGTAATAGTGTCGCCAGAGCGGTCGAATCTTATCCTGTCCGCCCACATCCCATACATTGAACTTGACGTTCTTGTACGTGACGGTTTCCACATTGAAGCCCACGGTGGGTATCGTTGTAACCGATTGGCCCAGTTTCAGTTTATACAGGATCGCTACAAAACAAATTAAAGATCAGTAACAGAATTTGTGACGGTAACTTTGGTTGAATTCGATTTTAACAAGTGTAATTGTTTTAAGACCAAATAAAATTACACTATAAGTGCTTTGAAATTAAATGACTAAGCTATTAAATCTAATCACTCTTTAAAAGGCAATCAATGAGTTCCCCCTTAGAGGTTCTTCATAGTTTACAATTGGGTTTAAGTCTTTACAATACATTATGTATGATAGGATATTGCCATTACTATAATTATTTGGGAAATATTATACAAAAACAATGTATTATCTGTAACATATTCAACTCTGTTGATTAAGGGGCGTAATCTTGGGGTTTTTTTACCCCCGCCAGACAGAAATATAATACAATTTTATCTTTTTCGGGAGATACTTGCTTAATAACATCAGATAAACATTTGAAAATACTGAAGCTAAAGATAAGTCTTAAGGCAAGTACAATCTATCGTTATTTAAATTCAAATTTAATGCTTTATCCAATATTAGGAGCCTTATTATGGTCAAAAATAAAATCGAATTCAATTAAAGTGTCGACCGGAAGTGATCCTGTAACGATGCTCACTTGTTTTTCCAGCTGCGTCCAGTCCGAGCATAAGAATTCGCATTTCTTTGTTGCCGAAAATTTTTGATAGTAGCTTTCCCATGGTGCCGCTGCTGCTGATGTGTCATCCATTAAACCTTAGCCAATCTGAAAAATGTGAGCAAACGGTCGAGGGTTACACACGTATGATACGACTGCCGCATAATTTTGATATGCGAATGTGGAGTGATTTCGGGGCAGGGTCATCAGTGGAGAAGGAGCAGTCGTCGTCGTCTCCCAGATAATAATGCCTTTGTAATTCAGTTATTCGCCGTATCAATTTATGATATAAGCACGCCGCCGCGGCCGCCTCTGCCGCCAGAAGGCGCGTAAGTGATACGCCGCCGCACACAGATGCACACATGTACAAGCTGATGTATACAGGGCCAATTTGGTGGCCATATATGCACGCATAATGTGCGGCGGCGGCGGAAGTTAAGAGCATTATTCTGCATAGTAATTTCACTTACATTGTTCAGAGCTACAACAATGCGAGAAAAAAACGGGCAGAATTTATCAGTGAAGAGAGCTTCCACAAACACATACACAGAAACAATCGCACACACAGCCAGAGTCAAGCACAATTGGGCACACACTTATATACAGCAGATAAACACACTATATAGTGGCGTAAATTGAGCCAGAGTTATCTCAATTGCGGATTACTGCCACTGCTACTGCTCCACCGATGCCCTGCCCTTCAGCGCTCAGCCAGCAGCTGAAGCCAAGCCGGCTCCGTGATGTCAGTATGAAGAGGATTCCACGGAATTTCCTCGCTTGCTTAACACGTCACATACACGCCCGTGTAATACCAACACCAGCGCACGCTTATACACACCCAAGTTCCTGACGACCGTTGTTACGCACCGCTTTCCTGCCCAATTCGATCCACGACCGCCTACTTTGCGTTAACATGAAGTGCCTATGTGCGTTGGCCAAGCATAAAATGCATTTGCTACCACACAACGGCCGAAAAACTATAACTAACAACAACAATTTTGCACTAATCTTCTTGTATTTATATACACATACAAGAAGCAATGTGGCCCGTTGGCGGAAAGCGCAAATCTCCCACGGTCAGCGGTGGAAATGAACTAAAAATTGCCGCGCCCTTGATGTTTTAATACTGAAAAAGACTGAATTCCGTTACTGCGTCAAAGCCGGTGGCGGAGTCACTGTTAATTTTTGGTATTTTATAGATAGAGGTGCGATCCAAATCAGTTGGAATTTATAAATGTCTACGTAAATTTTAAATATACAAAAAGTATTTGTTGACATTTATCTCTCACCATATAAGTACAAAAATATTAATTCTTTATATAAAAATAGAATATACAAAAATTAATTTTTTTCATTCCTCTTAACACATTTCTTCTACATGTACTTTGACATATGCACAACTTGTATTATTTCAGAATTTCGGTTTTATTTTTATGCAAATTGGGTTACTATATAATAAGACTGCCATATAAACAATTGCTAAATGAAATTAAAAATATAACTTTTTTTAAAGTATATTTTTATATAATTTTATAAATTCAATTTTTTTTATATATCAGAATTTGGGGTTAAATTGTATACAAATCTGATAAGTTTATTTAGCTTCCATAAAAGCGATCGGTAAATTAATAGAAAAAAATAACGATGTCTTCAAATAATTTTTATATATTTTTGTATATGCCCATTTTTTATAATTTCAAAATGTAGAATTTAATTTTATACAAATCTGAAGAGTATATTATATATCTGTCATATAAACGATTGGTAAATAAATAAACGAAAATATATAATATAATTTCATCTACTTATATATATGACCAATTTATCATTATTTCAGATTTCCGGGTTCAGCCTCTACAAAGAAAAATAAATAGTATTTATTGTGTTAATACTGTAATTAATGTAAATTAGTTTCTGTAGTGAAGTCTAATTTTATATATAACAATTGATTGAATTATTTGAGAGCTATAAATAAATTTTAATAAATAATGTAGTTATATTTAATGGTATTAAAAATTAAATTGGTATATTTCCCTCTTCGCGGGATGGTATTTTTCGATGGTCATGCCGCGGTCACGCTGGCCGCGATTCGATTGATTCAGACTCCTTTCCAATTGTTTAATTTTTAAGTGTTCCTTACGACACGCTCCTGTCACTCCACAAACGAATAATGGAACGGAGTTAATCGTCGCCCTGGCTAGAGAACACACAACACACACACATGGCTGGCATATGTCCCCGCGAGGCGGTGCGGGTGAAAGTGAAGGCAAGTGGAAAGTGAAGGGAGGCCACAGAGGCGCGAGACAACAAAGGTGGCAGACTTTTATATTTTTGCCTTTCCCCACAGAAATGCGAGCCGACGGCGCGTCCGGAGTGGCGCAAGTTCTCTGTGGATCCGCAGATCACCACGCTGGAGGTGCTGTACTCCCTGCTGGCCAAGGCCTTCGACGTCAAATCGGACTTCTCCATCAAGTACAAGGCCTTTGATCCTGCGGGCAATGAGATCTATCTGGCTGTACGCTCAGATTGGGATCTGGACGCCGCCTTCTTGCGGATACACAACATATCCATTCAGACGGCCTCGGAGCCATGCCTGATTCTGCAGATCGATGTCAAGCCGTTCACGGTGGTTCGTGAGTGTGAGACAGAGGCCTCGCCCGGCCGAACGTCTGCGGGAGCAACCGCTGCACCGCCAACTTCTGCTCCCTCTGCGCCCTCTGCCCGCGAGCTGATATCGCCTCTACAGTCGCTGGGTGTTTCCCAGAAGTACGTTCAGCACATGCAGACTAAGCTAGGCAGCTCCATCCTGAACCAAATGGAAAAGACCTTCTCTATGGTTCAGAAGGCTTTCAATCTGTCCGAGGAACATATGGCGAACCTGCCACCACGACCACCCATGTGTGACAGCGAGTTCAGACTGTTTCTCGACGCCCTGGGCCAGATTCAGCGCAAGGATGAGCTGCACCGTGTCATCTTTCTGGGCGGCATCGATCCGAGTTTGCGTCGTGTGGTGTGGAAGCATCTGCTCAACGTCTATCCTGGTGGAGCTCATGGCCTAGCCCTCGACGGCCATCAGCGCATGGAGTTTATGCGGCGTAAGTCCGAGCAATATTGCCGGCTGAGGGACACCTGGAAGGCGGCGGTGAAGCGAGGCAGCGTGGCCGGTGAGCTGGCCTACGTGACCAGCATGGTGAAGAAGGATGTCCTGCGGACGGATCGTCTGCATCCCTTCTACGCCGGAAACGACGACAATCAGAATATTGCGGCTCTCTTCAACATCCTCACCACGTACGCTCTAAACCATCCGACGGTGTCGTATTGTCAAGGCATGTCGGACATTGCCTCGCCGCTACTGGTCACCATGAACGACGAGGCGCAGGCCTACATCTGCTTCTGTGCCATAATGGCGCGGGTGCGTGGCAATTTCATGCTGGACGGGATTGCAATGACGCAAAAGTTTGCCCACTTGACGGAGGCCCTGAGCTTTTACGATCCGGAGTTCTGGGAGTACCTTAAGTCACAGCAAGCGGACGACCTGCTCTTCTGCTACCGCTGGCTTCTGTTGGAGCTGAAGCGTGAGTTTCCCTTCGAGGATGCCCTGCGCATGCTGGAGGTGCAGTGGAGCTCGCTGCGCTACAGCAGCGGTGGTGGTGACAAGGAGCTTCAGCTCTTTGAGAAGGAGTTCGTGCCTCTGTCGGAGAGTTCCATGCCAAATAGCGCCAGCACCTTCTCCAGCTCGTACAGCGCCACGCCGACGAGTCCCTCCTATCTGCTGACCAAGCCACGGGAGAATCCCTATACCAAAGTGTGTGCCCTGCGTCGTCAGAGTTCTTCGGCGTCGCTCAGCTCTCTAAGCTCTTCCCTGGGCACGACGGGTCATGCCCTGGACAATACGAAACGGTTGAATCACAGCCTGGACGACAATATGTCTCGGCACGCGACCGCAGCTGCTTGCCGGCAGCGACGCACCTCGGCCAAAGCGCATCAGAGCCTAGATGAGTCCAAAATGCTGGCGTTAATCGAGGGTGCCATGGAGAATTCAAATGTCAAATCAGTGCAGGACTTATCGGCCGGCGAGGACACCGAAGACGATGATGTGTTCGATAGGAAGGAATCGCCTAGTTTTCTGGAAACGAATCCCTTCAAAGATGACGCCCAAAAGACACCGGAAAAAGTGAACGACGTAGCACCACCTGGACGCGCTTTCCTGTGCAGCTCTTCGTCCTCGATTGTGGACGATAATCCCGCCGACAGGAAGTCCACGCTGCAGCACAAGAACATTCTGGCCGTGAGCAATATTATTGCCAAGCAGCTGGCCTCCAATGCCAGCCAGGTAAGTGAGAGTGTCAAGTGGGTGAGCAGCTCCAGTGGCGGGCATTTCAAGGATCTCAAGGAGAAGCTGGCGGCGACCAGTCGTATCGGTCTCTCATTCGATGGCGAGTCCACAGAGGACGACGGCGAACGGAAAATGCCACCAAAGCTGGTCAAGAACTTCAATGAATTCCTCAACTTTGCGACTATCAACAAGAACCGGATCTCCGATCGTTTTGCCACTCAGCAGCAGTCAACGACGACAGCTCCGGCAGCGGTTACCAAGCCGGTTGTGCAGCTCACGAAGGGTGGGCTGGGTAGTTCCCTGGACGAATCTGATTCGTCTTCGGTGCCGGAGACCAGTTGGAGTGCCTCTACGGCGGCCACGGCCATTCAGCAGGCACAGGAGCAGGAGCTAAGCAGCTACAACCTGCAGTTGGATCTCGAGGGGAATCATCACGGCGAAACCGACGAGACTCGCACGCCGCCAGATCAGGATCAGGATCAGGAGACCGATCAGGAATACTATCCCATGACGACGGCCATAACGCGAGAGCTGCGTCTAGAGGCGGAGAATCTGGATCGCCAGGTATTTGGGCTGCCCTTCACGGAGAACGAAAACGAGAAGCGGGACGACATCGAATACGAGAAGCTGGACAAGGATGCCATGGACCTGGTGGAGGACCTCAAGGAGAACGAGATCATTACTTGTCCCGATGTCAGCGAACTGCACCAGCGTCGTCGCCAGCGACTAGCGGCCAAGAGCAACAGTGTCCAGCAAAACGAATCACATGCCTTCAATCCCTTTATCGACGAGAGCCAGCTCCTGCTGGACGGCCACACGCCCCTAGGAATGCGTAGCAGCAGCAGCTTGCCCGAAGTCATCCTGCCCATTTCCACGGAGCCCAGCCTAGTGGAGGTATCCCCTTTAGTGGAGATTGCCACAAACGCAGACGATGAGAGCGCCTACACACGCTCACCGCAGCGTGGGGCCAACCTCAATGGCGTCACCGGACTGAACGCCACAGCAGCGGCTCTGCCTCCTCCCTCGGAATTCGGCGGCGGCAACGCCTTCCTTATGTTCCTTTGCCTCACCCTGCTGCTGCAGCACCGCAACACGATCATGAAGGCGGGCATGGACTACAACGAGATAGCGATGCACTTTGACAAGATGGTGCGAAAGCACGATGTCACCCGGGTGCTCAACCAGGCCAGGCGCATGTACATCGAGTACCTCAAGGCGCAGAGCAGTCCGCAGCGCCAGAGGTCACCCAGTGCCGCAGCTGCTTCTTCCCAAGGCTCCACCTTGACCACCTCCATGCCGGCGTAAGACGTAACGATGTAAGCAGCTCCGATGCAATCTTAGTGTTCCCCCGAATAGGCCGATCCCTGAATATCTCTCTAAATTAAATTAGTTTGAAAACTACAGAAAGTAGAGCTCAGTTAAACAGTTTAATATTAGCACAATGAGAGATATGTCAAATGGCCAGAACCGGGAGTAACTCATGCTCAAGAGAAAGGAGCGTTATATGTTAGTTAACAAACCTCAAAAAAATGAAAAAACCAAAGTCGCCCCTTATTGTGTACGTAGATCGATTTTGTACTAATTTGGAATTTTGAAGTTAGGATCTTATTTATTTTATATATATATTCTGAGGCGAAAGCTTTATTTCACTAGTCCGCTAAAAGAAAAAGCATTCCATGCTCTTGTAAAGACTATACCTTAGGACTTCAATACGCTGCTAAAGATATTCAATTACGGATAATCCATAATCCAATCAACTATGATCTTATATTACCTGTAATCGTTCTGTATCTAAAAAGAAAAACCTCTCACTTGTTCGGAAAACGAAACTTATTTTGTAAATTAAAATCTTACGACACTACGCTATGTAAAGTTATGGAAACAAACTTTTAAAGAATCGATAAATAAACGAAATTCGAAATAATTACAAATGCAATTTATTGGTACAAAATACGAATTCAATTCACGTGCGCAACCAGGCTGTGTAAAAAAAGATAAACTTAAAGGAAACACATACAATACACAATCATTCAGAAGTTGTATTTCTTCTTAAGGCGCTCACGAATGAGCAGACCCTTGATCAGCTTCTTCCAGTTGCCATAGACTCGTGTCTCGTACTTCTCCTGCTCCTTGCGCGCCTGCTCCTGCTGATCCTCCTCCCAGGCAGCGGTGACCACCTCCCGAAACTCTTCGCACACAATGAAGCCATCGTACATGGGATGGCAAGCGCCCTGATGGAAATCGAAGCCAATCACTGCATTGGCACAATCAATATTCAGCTTCTTGCAGACGCGCATCAGACCGGGCACTGCAAACACAAGTAAGGATAAAGTTATCTCACAAATTCTTAATTCTGGATTCCTAATCTTACATCTTAGATGGACCGTCTTCTTGGGCAGCATGCAGGCCTTGAAAAGCTCCACATTGCCGTAGGCATTCCGTGGCACTATGCCATTCTCGGCCGTTGGGGGCTCATAGTCCTGGGTTTGCCAATAGCCAAAGATCTCCAGCGGCTGATCCTTGATCACAGACCGTGTGAGCTGAAGGAATAAAAACAAAAATTAATCAATTTCCGATGTACTGCAGCGATGGCAACTCTTACCTTATCCCATTTCGGACGCGCCTTGACCACCTTGTAGGGCTGCTCGCCCAACTTCACCACTCGGGCACTCTTCAGCCAGATATCCCGCGAGTGCAGCAGATGAACACAGTCTCGAGCGTAAACAGCCTCGCCTCGAATAAAGCCTAGAGTGGGCGCATCTGGCGGATACAGACCCTGGAACTTGAGCAGGTGCCTTTCAAGGACATAAAGTGGATGATCTTTGAACTCGGCTATGGATGTAGGCAGCGGTTTGTTGGCATGGATGCGATGGAGCTGTTCGTTCTCGGTGATATCGCGTCTGGTGGGATGTCCCAGATATGGGGTAATGACTTCATCAAGCCATGCCTTCTCCACACGTGACTTGCGGACGGTGGTGCTCCAATTGGAGCAATAGCGGGCAGTCACATCCTTGATACTCTGATCATCCTGGAAGGCAAACACGTAAGCCAGGCCGGGCGATGCATTTTTCTGTAATAAAGATATTTTTTATTTTAATTGTTATATTTACAGATGTTTGTAGACTTACCCGTATCGTGTCCACGCAGTGCAGCTTGCCCTTGAACAGATCTATACAAATCCACTGCTCTTCGACCTCGGACCACACCTCAACCCACATGTCGGAGGCATCTGGGCGACGCTTATTCTTCGTGCCGCCCTCATCATCGGTGGAGACCACTCGACGATCTTTCCTCAAGTTCTGCACTGACTTGGGCAACACCGGTGCCTTCTTCACGGGCTTGGCGGGTTCGAAAACCTCATCGTCCTGTGAGTTCTGTGACCTTTGCAGCTTTTCCAGCTTCAGACGCTTCTTGGGTAATGGCCTAGCTTCATCATCAGCGCCATCCAACTGGGGAATGCTTAGAGCGTTGTTATCCTTCTGCCTTCGCTGACGCAATTGCCGGCCGGTATCTACATCGGCGGTTAGGAATCTGGGAGAAATCCGAGCCTTGGTGTCTGGACTCTTGCGTGGCTCCGGTTTCGGTTTTGGTTTGGGTTCAGGAACATCTGCGGCTTTGCCCTGCAGAAAGCTGGGCGATATGTGAACTTTGGGCGATTTGCTTCGCGTTCGAGTGGACCGCTCCTTGGGCTTCTCCTCCGGATTGGCATTCTCCACATTCTCGATTTGCTTCGTCGAACTCTGCAGCTTGACCTTGGATAAGACCAGCTTTGGTAGGACTGGGGATCCGATAAGTTGTGGCTGATTGTTGGTCTTAGTCTCCTCATCTCGTTCGTCTTTGGACTTCTCCCGACCTCTGCGAGTACGTCCAGCCACTGGCGAAAAGGTACCCATGGGAGGGGCTACCCGAGGCTTCTTTTCTTCAGTTTCCTCTAAAATCTTTTGTGTTGTGACTCTTTTAAGCAGAGATAATTGAGGTTTTGCTTTGGTTTCGTTCGTTGGAGAAACCTTAAGAGCTGCCTTGGAAGTGGTTGGCTTCTCCTCAAACGATGAGGATTTATCGGATCGGCTTAGTTTGGATTTTTCAACTAGCTTAGAGGAGAGACTGGGCTTTGAAGGCTTCTCATCATCCTCCCTTTTAATTGCCCGCGAGCTACGTTTGGTTTCGATTGTCTTTGATTTAGAATCATCTTTCCTGGTTTGTTCCTTCTTTTCTGTATCTTTCTTTTGTGGTTTTGTGTTGGGTGAGGACTTGGTTTCCGTTCTGCTGGTCTCCTTCTTGGTATAACTCTTTTTCTCAGCTTCTTTAGAGGCAGTTGGCTTGCTGCTGCTTTCCTTGTCCTTTGGCTTTGCTGGTTTCGCTGCCTTTTTATGTTTTTTGGGCTCATCCTCATTCTCACTCTCCTGTTCATCCGAGTCCAACTCCTGGCTCTTGTTCTTTTTGTCATTCGTCTTCATTTTAATGGGAATCAAATCACTAGCTGCCGGTCGCAGTGGCATTGGCTGGAGATTCACAATCAGACGACAGTTCATTCCCATTCCCCGTGCAAGGACAATGAATATGAATATCATATCCTGCTTGCATCGGGCTTCCTTGCGCTTTATCTGCGCCAACAAGGACTCCACAATGGCCTTCTTGCCGGGCGCCGATTGCTCGGAATATAGGTTGGGACTCAACAGCTTGATGGCTGTCTTGAACCAGGTGACAAAGGACTGCAAATATTTGAGCTCTGTGCCTCGTTCCGTGGGATAGGCATTCCGACTGGGCAGGAGTCTTAAGGCAGCCTGCATCAGGGCATTCGATTCACCCAACAGCCGATTGTATTTCAAGCTACGGGCTATCTGGCACATCAGGCTGACCTTGTGCAGCAACAGCTGCCGATCTTTGATGTCACGATTGAGGCGACGCTTCAGGGCATTCTCCAGCTCCAGCTGCGTCTTCTGCTCCTTCGTGGGGCGAAGATTCTGGAGGCCCACATGGATCTCCAGATCCCCGGAGACATTTGGAGTGGCAAGATCTTCGTCTTCTTCGTCATCTGGAAAGGGAATTGGAAGTGGGGTGGAAATGAGCGGCATGATAACCAATGATGATTTGAAGTTTTAAAGGCTCTAGTTAAATGATTCTAAAATAAGTAAATTAATGAACTAAAACACTCTTAATTTAAGTGGAAATGCTATAGATAAATAAACAAATAAGGTTTGAAAATCTATTAAAATTGTGCCCAAAGAAGGCATTCTTTTGTGCACTCTTTTAATAGATTTTGACAGTTACAAATTAAATTTAACAAAATTAAAGTAATTCAATTACTATAAATATTCCATAACCAATGATAATGCAGGAGGATCGGGGCAGGGAAGGCAGGGTAAAAAAAAAACACCCAGTACAGAGAGCCATAGAGTCCTTTCAACATTTTGCATTTATTTATTTATATCATCATTTAAAGTGCATTTTAAATTTCAATTATTGAATTAATTACAATCAACATCCACTAAAATTGCGCTAAAATTACGAGCTTTTCATTTGATTTGATTTATTGCATCGTTATTTCGAGTATTTTACCATTAGTTATTTGATTTTTAGATGTTTATGTTAAGTGAATACAATTTCGCTAAAGTAAATTCGTTAAACATCAGTTCTAATTTCGTTAGCTACTTGTTATTTCGTTTGGTGAAACACTTGCAATTGCCATAAAGTAAGTACACATTCGACTAGCTATCAAAAATCATTATTTTCATACTTCATTTTGCATCTTTAAAGTCCTTCTAGTCCCTGGGACCTATTTCTTGGTATCGCGTGGCGAAACATAAATAGAAAAAATCATCAGAAAACAATTAAAATAAATGCATTTTCTGTATTAAAGTATAAAGTTTCTTTTGATTTAACTCGACGTGTGGGTGTGTGCAGACATTTAAAACCACGTTTAGACTTCAATAAACATTTAGTTTATGCTTTTAACTTTCTTTAACCGAAGTCCTTACAATAACAAGATAACTAACACCTCATAGCAACTGCAAGCAAGCAAAAGCATAGGTGTTATTCATCTTGTCATTATTTAGACTTTGCTTCAACTATGTAGCTTTAACACGCAGATTGAGCTTATGCTAGTGCAAAAAACGTTAAGAGAATGTTCAGTTGATTTAATTTATGATTTCTTTTGACAATAAAAGAAGCTTTTGTTGTGTTTCTTTGGATTCTAAGAAGCGTTATGTGGTAGTTTTCGTCTTTTAGCTTCAGCTATTGAGTTCGTTTCGATCTGACATGGATTTGGCTCACACCACCGGATATATGTTTCTCATAAAGTACGGGCATGCAATCAAAGGACTCATGGCCTGGTTAGTGGGTATAATAAATAGGTTTTTTAGTAAGCCAAGTTTCTGGATAAAGCGTTCGCAGCAAGAGCCATTTCATACGCTAGTTCCTCAGTCTAATCGACTAACAATATATAAATGTTACAGTAAATAGGTATATATTGTAGATACACATGGCCATTCTTTAAGCGCTTCTCTTCCAAATTTACATTCATGCACATATGTAATAACTGCGGTCAGAATAATAGAGCTAGCAAGTATTATGGGAGGAATCTTGTACAAATGGAACTTTATAATATATTCAATTGTGAAACTTGAAAAGCTACCTGTTGGGCATACAAAAAAAACAAAATTTTCTAACAATTACGTACAAAAAACAAGGCATTAAAAGGAAACACTGCTTTGAAAATGATATAACAATTAAATATACAAGAACTGTCAGCTAATGAATACTAGAAACCATTAAATTATAAGATCTTTAAATATACATCGCTTTCCTTCCATTATTTTGACCGCAGCTTTTCCAGTTAGTAATTTCTATATTCTCACATCGACGAATAAACTTGGTACAAACGAAAACTACAACAGTCTCATACAGAGCAATTTGGAAGCTTGTTACTTTTTTGTTTTTGTTCATTATCAGATACCAGAAATCCCAGCGCCACAACCAACATTTTTCTTTTGTAAGCCATTGCTCCTTCTAACTGCCTCCACTGCCATCGGTACCTTCTCTTAGGGGAGACTGGCCGTCAAACTACTTGTATTTTCGCCTACCTGCCACTTCCTCAAAATCGGAGTCATCGGTATCGCCGGCAGTGGCCACCACTGTGGACACGGGTCGCGTCTTCGTGTGACGCTTGATTCGCGTCGACTTGGTTTTGCTCAGACGCGACGGCCCGTCCATGGGTGGTGGCAGAGGTTGTTCAACTGCTCCTCCTCCTCCAGATTTCGTCGCAGCCGTTCCTGACGTTTTCCTGGCTCCTCGCCGCTGATTACCCTCCGGCTCCTCGTCATCTTCTTCTACATTCTGGTAGTTCTGGTTCTCGCCCAATGCAAGCAGCGCATTGACATCCATAGTGGCAGCCTGGCTACGTGGCGGTGTGGCCGTCACATTTCGCCGGTTAATTGCATCCCGCGTGCGCTCCAAACTATTGGCGTTCTCAAGGAGACCGCGAAAGTCGAAGGCATTGCCATCGGCCTTATCCTCGATGCTGCTGTCGTTGTTGTCCTCCGATCCGGAGCCAGAGTCCGAGAGATTCGTGATGCCGGCATTGCAATCGAATTGCGGCACCGGCGACTTGTCCTTCTCCTGCGGCAACGGTAGCTGCTGCGCTGACGTCGGCTGACCGACAAAGAAGCTGGATTGCAGGTCGAGATCGGCTGGATTCACCAGGTAGTCCTCCACACTGGATTCGCTGCTGGAATCAGCAGCGTTGTGCTGATCCCGAGCACCGCTTTCATTGGGCGTTCGCGCGTTTTTTGAACCCGACGCCGAGGGCGAGTTCTGTTGCTGGGATGGCGATGTGGGAAAGGTTTTGGGCGGCGGCCGGTACTTGTTGTATAGCTTGGAGCGCAACGACTGTTGGCTGGGCTTCCTCTTCTTCACCGAGGAGCCCTTGATGCCGCTTGGCGCCTTGTGATCGCTGGGAAACAGAAGTAAAAGAGTTTAATGAAGGATGTGTCACTGGGTCAGTCGGTCATTCGGGTATACCCACCCCTTTCTGCCCGCTCCGGCGGATGAACGACCACTGGAGCCGGCTGCCCCGCCAACTGCCGCTCCTGCGCCCGCCGCTTGCAGCTCATCGAAGTCGCTGTCATCGTCATCGGAGGATTCCCCGCCCTTGACGTCCTTACTGGGCTTCCACTCGTCCTCGCTGGCCGAGAAGCCCTCGGACACGGAGTCCTCCTCCTCGTCGGACATCTTTTAATCCTTGTGGGCACGTTTTACATTTATGTATCGCGATGCGTGCCACTTACAGTTATTGATTTTTACTGCGCAGTTTTTTAGGACAATTGTTACACAAGAATATCCTCTTCGCCTTTATTGGTTGTCCATCGGCTACGGCCGTGGTTTTGGCCAAAATTGTGCCTTAATTTGAGCTCGGTTTTGCGATTGCTGGACGATTTAAACTAAATTGTGAAATTTACATTTTCGCGGTTGGTAGGAATACAGGCCAAAAGCAGAGGGCGAGAACAGCGCGTCGATGTAGCAATGTTGGAAAACGTCGGATTGCGATGGTATAACGATTCTGGGTTTCAATAAATTGTAACGGTTTCGAAGCGTAATACAACTTGAATACAATTAATCAAATAAATAAAAGCGTTATTATATTATATTTATAATTAAGTTGAATATTCTGCACACTTTATACAACAAAATTAGGACTAACAATAGAAACCATATATTTTTCATATAACAAGTTATTTACTTTCTGTAAAGTTAAGTATTTAGTATTTTTTTATTTATCGACCGCCTATCGACTTGATCAGATGTTTACCAACACTTCAAATTCACATATGTGAGATGTTTATTTACAAAATTAGTTGAAATCTCCTGGAAAATGAATTCCTTCGGAGAATTGCATCCAAATTGGCTGGCACTGACCACTCTACCATTGCAACTGAAGAGGTTCGTCCGAGCGGGAGATCCGGAGAGTGCTCCTGCGCCAGCGAAAGCTAGCAAACACCAAATTGACGGCTTGAATGGAGAGGAGGCCCAGGAGTTCTACAAGGAGGTGCTGGACACGCCGGTAACTTGCACTCCTAAACCTACATCTAGCAAAGAAAAGGACTCTAGGAAAGTACACAGGAAGTCTCAGTCGCCGTTCGATAAGGGGAAGTTCTTCCGTTTGGCGACGAGTAACAAAGTGGAGGAGTTGTCCGACATGGAAATTTCGGAAGAGGAGATAAACTCTTGCGACTGCTTTGGATGGACTGCTTTGATGATGGCTGCCTGTGAAGGAGCCACCGAAACAGTGGCTTGGCTCCTACGGCGACAAGCACTCGTGGATGTCCAAGACAAATCCGGAAACACAGCCATGAAGCTGGCCCAGCGAAAGGGCCACTCCGAAATAGTGCACCTATTGGAAGCAGTTTCTTTTCCCGCAGAGGCCAGCGACGAGGAGGAAACAGTCGATGAGAGCAGCCCATTTTACTGTGAAATCTGCAAAAGGGACTACAAGGAGACCCCTTGGCCCATTCATCAAACCTCCACGGTGCATCAGTTCAATCTCAAGGCCTTGCCCGCCCACAAACTGCACAAGTTCAATATATCCGCCAAGAACCGTGGTCTCCAGCTGATGGTGAAGCAGGGCTGGGACCAAGAGCACGGCTTGGGACCCAGCCAAAGTGGACGTTTGTACCCAGTGAAGACGGTTCTTCGTAAGCAACGCACTGGCCTGGGCATTGAGCAGCAGCCGGCGCGGGTCACTCACTTTGGAGCCTTTGATTTGAATGCCGTGAGAAGGAGAGATACATTCCATCAGCCAAGACGCAACCGTAGCGATATGCAACGGGAAAAGGTGCGGGAATGGAAGAGGGAACGACACCTTCGCAGGGAATTAAGTTAATTAATATCATAGATAAAACTTAAAACGATTTAAAGAAATGTTATACAGAGATGAAGCTTAACTACGAGCTTCAATCGCTCAATTAAAACCTACAATTTTAAAAAGTATATAAAAATTGTTCAAATGAATCTGTTTAAAATCTTGTTAATAATAGTTTCATTATCTTAATTGCAAACTCATGTTTTTAGGGTGATAACAATCTCTTGATCTCGAACCCTCGTGACCTTGCATTTTCTCCAACAGATTTCGGAGTTGGATTCGGGAAACGGATGGTTGTTAACGGGCTATTTGCCGGAGTGTGAGTTTTCGGTAATGCTGTTGCATGTCCTACTCTCTCTCGCTCCGGCTCCACCGCGCTCTCACTCCCCCGGCACTCTCTCCCTGACATCCTGACCCTGAGGCCGCGATTTGACACGGTTTCCGCTTTGCGCCTGCGTCCTGTGGATTCTTTGCGGCGGTGGAGACGTCCCACGTCCGACGTCCGGTATATAAGCCACGGCTCCGAAATCCTTTGCTCAGTCGTTTTCGGACTACAGTACCGTTAGGCTCGTCGTTCGTCGGTGGCTCCCTCCGTTTACCGTTAGCAAAAGCGGAGCGCAGAGCAATAAAAATAATTTCGCAGTGCGTGTTTTAAAGTTCTACTCACGCTCGGCAATTAAAAAAGTGCCCGAGGTGGGAGTGCGGTCCGAAGGTCAACCCCAGCAGGACGCGTTCCAGTTAGGTAAACGGCGGGTGAATTATTCAAGTGCTAGAAAAACGGTCAATTGTAGCCGCAATAAAAAGCAACAAAAAACAAAACGGAAGACAAGTTGGCAGCCCTGCTGGCGATCAACACAAACAGCTGATGAGAGTGCCTCGACAGTGTGTGTGTGTTTTTGGCGGAGCGTCGTCCGCTCATATTTGTTATTGGCGCTCCAACGTGTTCGGTTCGGTTGTTTAAATTTTTAAAACAATTAACAATTGTGCCGACGCATCTCGTTCCGTTATCGTGCTCCGCCGCGTGCCAGTGTTCCGTTACCAAAAAGTTGCATGCACAAAGTATAAAGCGCAATTACGCAAAGCCAGCGAAATATAACTCGGGAATTAAATGAAAATAAACTAAACTAAAGCCATGTGATAGAAGTTACCACGGCAACCCGCGGATTCTGCAAAACACAAATAATGATTTAATATACGCGCTTCTCAGTGTTCTTCGGCTTTATGGTTTATTTTCGTAGCATTTATTTTGGTGATTTGTTTGGTTTGCATTGAACATGTACATATCGTTCCGCTCTCTTCACCGCGCGACCTCTCTCTCTCTCTCGCTCTGATCGTCATTGCCAGCCTCCCATATGCTCAGCCGCGTGCCTCTCCCTCTCTCCGCCGCCCCCCTGTTCTCCACCCACCCACAGGGCCCTCTCCATGAACTTGCATATAGTTTTTGTTGTTGTTGTTGTTGGATTTTACACTGCAGTTCGCTTCTATTAAACCGATTCGATTCGATTCCATTCGATTTGATTGTATTATTTAGACAAGAGCAGAAACAGCAGCTATAACCCAGTGAAGTGGGGGCAAAGAAAGCGGAATAGAATATTTTTTTATTATCTCAACGATTCCGATTCCATGGAATGTCGGGGGGAAATCTGCTCTGGAAGGTTGCGAAATGTACACTTTTAAAAAATGAAACGTTCCCTTCTTAGTCATCGTCTTGTATTTACTAAAAGTACTCGTGTTGTTCTTACCTACAGTAAAGTTTGACTAGTTTGAATTTGTCTTAACAGTTTTTTTTTTAATCAATATATTAATACAGGATAAATCCTTGAAAAAGTGTTGACAATTAAATTCAAGCCCCTAATTTGGAGTATTTGGTAGAGCTGAACGATTTGTAGTTTGATTTAAATTTCAAATTGAATTAAATAATAATTTTAAGCAAAGGAAATCCTTAAAAAGTAAAAATTTTAACCAAGACGTTAATTTGCACTTAATCTTATATTAAATGTAGTTCAATGATACAAAATTTCCATAGTTTTTCTTTTAAATTTCTTAATTGACTTGAAATTAAAAGAACTTTTGTTTGAGTGCTTGTTTATGGATTTAAAATTCAAATTTGTAAAAGCAATAAGACGTTGTGCAGTTATTTCAAAACTTGAAGGGAATTTCCAGACCTTTTTTATTCATATATAATTAAATTGAAGGCAATCTCTGTTCTATATAATTAAATTCTGTTAACTCGAAAACCCTTTAACATTAGTATTTCTTAATCATTAATAGTTTTAATTTATAGAAGCTCACCTGTAGGAAACAGAAGGCCAGAAGGCGAGACTCTATTTACTCCAAGTGCTTCTTTGGGTGGAAACAAATCTCGTAAATCTTTAAAATCGTAAAGCAAACAAATGCATAAGAACAGTGCCAGAGAGATCGCAAAGAGCCAAAATACGAAATGCCAAATGTTTATTATTGTAAAATAAACCCATGGAGGCGGGCCGGGCTGAGTATCGAGCAGAGATTGAGATAAATAAAAGGCCAAAACTTCCGGGTCATTGCCTGAACGCAATGGCAATGGCAAAAGTCGAGTTTTCCACTCCTGGGGCTTCCATCTCCTTCGTTTTCACTGGGAGGGCACTTCAATTACCATTTCCTTTGTGCCGCAAACCTATAATATTGCCAAAACATCTACGTGTAGTTAAAGTAAATTGCAAGCCAAGGAAACACTCGGCATGGATATTAAATTATTTGAAATTTCTTAATTACTAAACAAATGAAATGGGCCTGAACATATTCCCCTAGATTGTTTACCCAAACCAACAGCATATTCGGGGAGACCGACATAATAACCATTAAGGCAATTACAACCATTATAAACAACAATATCGAAATGAGCAATACAGAAATGCCTGCTGAACTTGAAAAACAAATTTAAGCATGCTTGATCCAGTATTCCGGCAGCCAGGTCTTAATAGTGTGTCTACGAGAAAAGCCCAAGGAACAATAAAAACACCAGCGGATTCTTTCATTCAGCATCAACATTACGGAGAAACAAGTACTATTGCTATTCCAGCGTTTTCCGCGTGGCCGCATTTTCCGAGTGCTTTAAGTGTTTTCCCAGGTAAGACCAGCTAGATAAATGCAAATTAATTCGCAGGTCGCTAGGATGCTAGTGAGCATTAGTGCACAGTGAAAGAAAAATCTCTTAATCCTACAAAAGTTATAGTAATGAATTTAATCAGTTCTCGTTGCATAAACTGATTTTACTTTGATTATTTGTAAACAATATAGTTTGTGAGAAACCTTTTTACCATTTCTTACCTTTGTCTTATTTATATAAATATTAAATTGGATTTATAATTTTTATGCATTTTTATATCCTTGCAAGGGTTTTATAATTTAACTCAAAAGCTTAAAAACGCTTGAAGGACTCATTTCCGACCCTATAAACCATATATATTCTGGATCAGCATTAAAAGCTGAATCGATCTATCTATGTCCGATCAAAATCTATATTTTTTCAAAATTTTCGAAATTTTTTACGGGGTTACATCGTTAAAATTGTAAAAAAAATCGAAAAAAATGGATTCTTTTAAAATGTTAAATTGAGTATGCAAGTTTGTTACGATAATAAAAACTAACACAAGACAGCTTTCCGAATTGAATTTAAAGAATTTTTGGCTTACTTATGAGTTTTTTAAACTTTGATTATTCGAACAAATTGTGGTATGAAAATATAGATAAATATTTCTTAATAAAATGGTATTTTAATCAGCATTAACAGCTGAATCGATCTGGCTATGTTCGACAGAAGTCTATATTTTTTCAAAATTTTCGAATTTTTTTAAGGGGTTACATCGTTAAAATTGTAAAAAAAAAATCGAAAAAAATGGAATCTTTTAAAATGTTAAATTGAGTATGCAAGTTTGTTACCATAATAAAAACTAACACAAGACAGCTTTCCGAATTGAATTTAATGCATTTTTGGCTTAGTTATGATTTTTCTAAACATTGACGGTAGGGATTTTTTAAGCCAATTTTGTTAGCCTAATTTTGAACCAATTTCTTGTTTGGGTTTTGCAAAACCCCTAATGATTTTTATAGCACACCCAAATTTTAAGATAGTTTCGGGGCTTTTACACCGAGTTTAAAACTTGCTAAAAGCAAATATTTGTAGGTCCTTAAACCACTTAAATATAATATAATTTCTTACCTCTTTTAAGACGAGTATTGCTGTATGAAATGAGATATTTCTGTAGAATTTATTTTGCTCCGTGTATATATGTATATAAGCGTGTGTAATTGGCAGGACGATAGCTAGCATAAATCTCTCACCTGAAGGAATTTTCTAATATCGCGAAGGTGTTGCATACCAAACGGTGCTTGAAATGAGCAATTTGCCAAAAACTTTCAGCATAAATTGTTGCTGGAAATACTGATGGTTAAACCCCCTTTGCGATGCCCATGGCAAAGAAAGGAAAAAATTAACAAAAATTAGGCCTGAAGTTTGTTGGCAAGCTCGCAAATGTGTTGCGGCTTTAAGGGATAAAGAGCTTTGGCGCACACACAGCAAAAGGCAGTAATTAACATTAATAAGACTGTGAGGAAAGTTTGAGTTTTCCGGGGAAAGTTCCCAGGGTTTCCAGACAACGACGACGACGACGACTAACTGTCGACGCAACTGAGTGACAGCGTACCAACATTATTCATTCGAAAGACGTACATATGTACGCATGTGATTTAGTGGCAGGACAGGCCCCAACTTTCCAGACAACTGAAACCGTTTCTGTTTCTGTTTCGTTCTGCTTATATTTTTCAAGGCCCCGGGTTCATTTTGAAATATGCGCATAAATTAGAAATAATGTGCGTGCGACTTGTTAACACAACCGATGGAAAAGTTCCTTGACCAACACGCTCTTGGATATACACGCACATTCCCTTCAACCTTTAAGGGCTCCCGAAAAGTGTCCTGTTGTTGCGGCCAGTGTCAACATTTCAATAGCCATCTTAATTGCCCAACGAAGGGCTTGACATTCCGGCTCCACTGGCTTTCAACAAAAAGATTGATACATTAATTAAGCCCCAGGATCCAGAGTCAGGTTTTCATTGTCCCAGCGCTTAATTGGCTTTTTCCCGGGATGCGGCAAAAGGTCAGAGAACGGCGAGCGAAGTTTGATTAAATTTCTTAAAAACAGCTTAATTGAATCGCGATTAAGCCGGAAGTGTGAGAGAACACTATCAGCAAAAGGGGGTCCCAGAAAAAGGAAAACAAAAAAAAAAAAATCCCTGGCCATTTTGCGACATTTTATTAACGTGCGATTGACTTCCGGGGACTAAATGTGGCAAAAAAAAAACAAAATGTCAGTCAGAAAAGTGGAGGAGCATTTTGGCATTCGATTGAGCGTGCAAAAGTGGCTCAGCCAAGGCGACGTATCGGGATATAAGGATATATGCCAGGTCCTTGGCAAATGCCAAAACTTGTATGGCAGCCACAACAAAATCCATTGAAGCGAGAAATCGACTTAATGCATTAGCAGGCGGAGTGGTGAACACGGCCAAAAAGACACGTAGAGCAAACATTTTGGGGCTTACCCAGGAGCAGAGTGTGTGTGTGTGTAGAAATCGCATAAACTTCAGATAGGTAGGTGGGCGTAGAGCCTGGCGGTATAAAATTGAAAATTATGACAAGCTGTTGGCATCATTGTCAGCACAAATCAGTGTTGGCCCTAACCAATCGTGGCTTTCAAGAAAATAGTAGGATTGACCAAAAAATAAGGGTTGTGACTATCATTTCTTATTAAAGTAATGGAATTAAATTACGTCCCAAAAATCATCAACAGCTTCCCTAACAAGGTGTTTTCTGACACATTTTAACTGCATTCTCAGCTCAAATAATCTTGAAAAGAAAATATGTCCCCCAGGATAAATTGACAGCACTGCCCGCTGGCAAACTGGGACCTTTTTTTGCCAAAATGCAAGCAGAGCACAAAGTGGCAACATAGACGTCTAAATGGCTGACAAAATCCTGGCCCAAAAGTAGAGGTGAAGCTGCCCATTCCCTTCTTACCTCACAGCCACTCGCATATTCATATCGCTTCATTGCTATGCAAGTTGATAAACTTGAGAATCCGACAACGACGACGACGGAGCGCGGCAATAACAACGTCAACAAGTCGCCATAAAACACAAGCAAACAGCACTCGCTGCCGAGACAGATGCAGAGATAGAAAGCTACAAAGATACAGATACAAGATACAAGATATATTCCACACCCAGCCACCCAGGGACTACGTACTATGTCTGGAGCGACAGGGCAAACAGTGGAAATTCAAGGTCCCTCCCTGGCTCTAAGATGAGTTTCCTGATTAAGATAAATATAAATCTATATACACTGAAAACTAAGCACTACGTGTATTGCGTCATGAAGCGAGTGAATCTGGTCATATATTAATATCATACTATCATGATTTATAAGACCAAGAAGCACGTGAAAGCGCTTTCTCCCTCTGAGCTATAAAATAATAAAAACAGACGGAATTTAATTCGTGTTTTAAAGTTAAACAAATAAATCCAGATTTGTTTCCTCGCAGATTTTCACCAGCTTGATTGATTATGCTTTCCAATCTAAAGGCTATAATGGCCATCATCGCAACACTATACGGCTATATGCTATTTATTTAAGGCTTAACAGTGCATCAGCTTTATTGCAATGAATCAACTTTATTGACAATGGCCGCGGGGGCCATAAATCCCATTTTCCTTTTGTTTCACATTTTCCAAAAGGTTTTTGACTTTCGTGATGGCAATTAAAAAATGGATTTTATTTAACTCTTTTAATCTCAGGTAGGTAAGGTCTGCGATAACGACTGATGAATCTCTTACAACTTATCACTTATCCAGTTGTGTAATAAAACCATGAGCGAAAGTCTGTCCATGAGTAGAATCAAATTAATGTCTGTATTCAAAAGAAAATCCAGACAGATATATGATCGATCTAGGAGATATCTGGTAACAGAATATTAATTCTGCACTTCACTTTTTCTCGCTTGTAAAATGCTGCCAAAAAATAACTCTGCAGCGAAAGAGATAAAAAAGTGCCAAGAGCACGTGCGTTTAATATCTTAAATAAATCTGTGGAACGGGGGTATACTTTGTATATAGATTTAGCACACAGCTGACCACTGGAGCATAAAATATAGATTACCTCGTTTGGTTTTTATGCCAGACACTATACAATAAAAGCTGAGGATAACCAAAAGATATGCTAGACGAAACCAAATATTGATTGGCAATCGAATGAATCCTGATGTTAATGACTGTCCATATGGGGTCCTTGTGTCTGTGCTCTCATTGATTAGAATTATCAGCATAATATTTGATTGTACTTTTGCCCAGACTGTGCCAGGACAATAAATAAAGGAATTTCTGCATTCTATGTGGGCGATTTGACCCGATTTCACAAATATTTCTGCTTGAATTATAGACAGAAAGCATATATGCAATATGCATTCTATATGGCTTTATGTTTGTCAATTAAAAAAGGAATTTATAAATGGTGTGTCAATGTTTTTGGGTTGCTGTTATTTTTAAGCTAGCTTAAATTGCATTTCCTTAAGCGAATTAATGAAAGAGAAATATAAATATAAATGGAAATACTCATATAGCAAAACAATAATACGAACAATAATACAAATTAGTTTGCAACAATGTATAAATATTCAGTATTGATTTTCCGATTTTTTTATTTCCTTTTTTTTTAGTGTTCTGTGGAAATACATATTATATATTTTAAGAAAATAAAGTAAGATAAATTCTATTAGAGGTATTACAAATTCTATATTAAATCAGAAATGATTCACTAAGTATTCACTATTTGTTTTTACAAGTTTTCTTTTTGTTTTCTTTGACATTCAGTATTTTTTAAATACGTTTCATAATTAACTCTTAATAATTTTAAAGCACTCAAGATAATAATATTAAAATTCCTTAAAAACAAGATTTGTTTTGAGCATTACGGCTGCCTGAAGACCATTTAGAGTAAGAGAAAAGGGAGGCCTTATACCGACACTTAAGGTAGTCTTGGCACTCTCTGGATTTCTTTTCGAAAGTCATAAGATTCAC